TCTAAACAAATATAATAATGAAATAAGGTTAAGTGTTTTTTAATTATCACAAATTCTTTTCTAAACTAAGAAGAAAAACTTATTAATTTATTTTTTGATAATTATTTGCTTCTGAACAAAAAAATTTAAAAGATGAAATATAAAAGCTATCAAAATATATTATTGCTACAAAATAATAACTAATGTTTATATATAGAGGGATCGAAATAACATTGCTATCAAAAATAGCAAATATCAAAGATGTGACTTTATACAGATTCCTGTTTCTATTGAGACTGTCCGTAAATGATTCCGACTAAGACATGACAGTCCAAATGGAAGTTTGGGTTAAAGAAATGATCTTTATTTCCTTTAGATGAACTTTATTTATGCCAAGTGATATTTAAGTCTTACCTCACTGATTGCATAGCATAAAAGCATTAACCATCATTTTGTTAATTCATATTATTTGGCTTATTAAAAAAAGATTTTGTAGGGAATTGTTAGGATTGAGTGAAACTCAGAATTTCTTATTCCTCTTTCTTTGTTTTTTTCTCCCTCTTTCCTTTTTTTTTTTGCGCCTTTTCTTGTTTCTGTTTTCACCTTTCCATTTCATTTTTAAGTTGACCGTTTTGTTTGACCTAATTTAATGGTTTTGATTATTTCACTTTTATAGGTTATTGTGTAGTCGTTTGGTCCAAATAATCACTAATCTAGGTTTTTTTTATATAGAGAAGGGTTTAATCCTTTTTGGGATATTGATATCGTCGAATCCTTCCTCCACCTCAAAGCTCCTCTTTCATAATTTTTCCTACTTCCCTTTATTATGTCGTTTAAGGCAGAAAGAGAACATCCCTCCATATTCGAAGAGCTTTTAAATATCGTATCTTGAGGTATATTTCTCACTATCATCCCACACAAGAATGAGATTTTATGCCTACAACTTGATGCTTATATTTCAAGCCTAACTTTAGTTAGATTTCTTGATTAAATCTAATTAGTTTTTAATTTATGCTGCAACAATAACAAATTTTCTGCTGAATCTTTAGTTCTTTATAGATGCATATGTTTGTTCAGCTACTTAGTTTCTCATCTGATAGTTTTTTATTTGACTAGAGATAGGCTAAGGGAGCTCAAGAAAATATTCATGTGGTTGATCAGATTCTGTAGTTGATGCAGAATGATCGATACATCACCACCTCTTGTTGTTGTTGAAAGAGAGTAGAGAATTGAATAATGAACCAGGAAAAGAACCTTAAGATGCCACTATTTCCCAATTCAAAACTAGTGATTTGTTTTGGTAATATAAGTGGCATTGTTATCAGATGCCACTAATTCCCGGTTCAAAACTAGTCATTTTTGTTGGTTATAAGTGGCATCGTTATCTCTGTCGTTGCATTAGGAATGCTTATTAAGATCAAAGTGAAGTCATTCCTCAAATAATGTAAATCTCATTTAAAAATATTGGTCTAGTAATGACATATGTGATTCATTTAATAAAATACTTAATATCTTACCTGCTAAAGCTTTAGACCATTGATAACAAAGTTGTAAGATTAAATTTCGTCTTCAACACTTATCTTTTGTGAAAAGTTTTCATTCAAAAAGTGTTTCCAGAAACTAAAATGGGCCATGTTAAGATAGAAAAATTGGGTGCCCACAAATTGCATTTTCTAAAGCACAAGATGAATATGATTTATTTGTGTACTTATATCTGAATCTCTTCTTTAGATTTCAATTAACTAAGGCGGCCACCTTATATACTACCTTATTAGTTTTCATCTGAAGTCATTGGTTCCAGTTCACCTCATGATCATACTTTTTATCATGTTTGTGATACATGATGGCAAAGATATGGACAGTTATCCATAATTCATGTGAATCTTATATGAAAAAAAGTTATGTAATTCATGCATTTTATCTCATTAAAAGCTTTAAATATATGCTTCTACTGTTTTGCCCGTTTACTCTAATAAGTCAAGAAGCTCTTTCATTTTAAATGATCATTAAAATCAACAGTAGAATAATCTACTGACAGAACAATAATGCCATGTTTGGTCAGTCTCTATGATGATCTTCCACTTGCAAGCAAAGATCAAGTTGCTGGCTTTTGGGTTGGATCACCTAACAAAAGAAGGGATAAAAAGGATAGGGAGTAGTTGCTCTTCAAGAAGTCTATAATAATTGATAATTGGATGACTTGATAATTGGATGGATGAAAGCAGCACTATTAATTAAAATGGACTGACCGAATTAAGGAAATGTGGCTGCATTAGATGAAATATTTTTTTGGAAAGAAAGTGGAGTTCCCCACCAGGTTTTATATTTCGAAGGATTGGGAATGTGTCAGTAGCAAGCTTTAATCTTTTGATCCCAAGACCTCCCATTTCCTTCTCTTCATATACAACAATTCCTCCATAATTATTCTTCTTTCCTTCTTGCTAAGAAAGATTGATTGTTTTAAGTGTAACACCTCGGTTTGATCCTATATGGAAAGTAAATAAAGATTTAATACAGATATAAGAGTCTAATAAGTATACTATTATTAATTTAGACTTCGTTTTGGATCAATGTTTCCAATCCAGTAGGTTAAAACGCAAAGCATATTATCATCAAGCTGCAAGTTTCAGAAATTTTCTGCAGTCCCATATTTGTATTCATAGTAAAAAAAAAACAAGTGGTTTTTATATTCATAATGCTGATCGCAAAGGACTCCTCCCTTGGATGAACTATTCAACTGTTCACTTATACTTTTGACTCTTAGCCTCGATTGAGGAAGGTTGTGCTTCAACTCACTAAATATATTTCACTGCGTCAACGTTACCTTGTTGCTTCCTTGGATCCAACCTTACATGAGTTGTTGTGGTCAAATAACAAAGGCCTGAAACATTACTGAAAGTCTAAAGCTCCTTTCCCTTAAGTCAATCTCTTGTCAAATGGTTTTCTGGTATAATCTTCAAGAGGTCTTTTAAGGTTGTCAATCTTGATATACGAAGAGCAGTCATTGAATTATTAGGCAAGGATGATTAGACACTGATCTTGTATAGTTTCTTTAGACTAGAAGAGAGAGCAGCCTCCAAACCCAGTGAACTACTGGACTTGGAAACCAACTCCACGATCACTGAATCTTAACCTCTTCCTGAGGACGAAGGGCGGTCAACCATCAGACTTAAAAGGCCAAATAATACCATTCAAAGCTGCTCGCATTTCAAGATTTCAGACAACTGCAATCTACTCACGTCTGAACTACCAGCAACACACTCCTGTTCTGTAGAGGTCGTCCTGTTTGAGAATAAGCAGGTGAGTTTCCGCACGAGAGAAGCGTTTGCCATCGACATGAATGGAAGCAAGTTCACATGCTCTCTCCGGTCTGCAAGAGAGAGCATTGCAGGTTGTCCCGTATGCGTTTCTGAAAAGACAGATGGAAACTGGACAGCTTCCATGCTTTCTAGTGAAATCAAAATGCCAACACCTGGACATAGGATTCTCATTAGGGAACAAAAGGGAAGGATGAGATCTTGTGATGGTGGCCATCACGCCTACCATGTCCAAGGAAATCATTCTTTTACCTCCTCATACGTCCTAGAGTAGCAACAGATGTCAGGTTTTGAAGTCAAAAGAAGAAAAAGTAGAAGGGTGCGTGTAAATAAGAGCATTATTCTTCTTTTTTATTATTTAATGCGTTAGTTTGGTTTATCGTCTTGTTATCACCAGGGAATCTCAATCTGTTCTAATCATATCTTAATTCTTTAAGTGGGAAGAACCTCTCTGCTTCGGCCTTTTTCACCTTGAAAGTTTTATATATTCTTAAATATTTTTTATCAATATTACTATATCTAGAAATTTTGATTAGTAGATGAGGCATGATTTTTATACATAATTTAGATTTTTTAATCAAATTAGTTTTGAGTTCGACTCATCAATAATAATATATATTAAATTGGATACCGTTTCAATCCAAAAAATTAAACCAGTAGATAATGATCAATACTAAGGGTATATATATATATATACATATATATATATAGTGACATGGTGAATTCTAAAAAAAAAATTAATTTTAGGTTTTATCCATAAAGCACCCGTAACTATATGAAAAGACCATCTTACCCTCATACTACTGAAAAATCCCTACATGTAGCCCCAACTCTAATCGAGCCTCCGCTTGCATCTAGTTGCTTCACTCGTCAACTATCGTGTGAGGTAAGAGAATGCAAGGATCATGATCGTTTTCATAGATCCTATTAATCTTCTCCCTCCTTATTGAACTTATTGTCGTCTCCTCCTCTCTCTCTGACTCCTCGTCCTCCTCTCTGGTTGATGATCATGAATGTAATGATTATGATTAACCACAACAATGACTTATGGGCGGGATTGTAAAGCATAATAGGGGCAAAGGACAATGAGTGATAGGGGTTAAATAGTTATTTAAAAAAAAAAAAGCTATGTGAAAAGAATTAAAGCTAATAACTTTTTTCTAGAATATACCCTAGTAACATTGACAAAAATATTTAAGAATATATAATATTTAGCATATATAAGGGTAAATACGTAAATATAAAAAAGGATTGATAGGTAAAATTGGAGATACGTGTCTCAGCGCGATGGGGAACAGCGACAAGTCCGTGTTCCTGATGAAACAGCTGAGCCAGGCAAAAGCCAACGAGGCCTTCCGAGTTGGCAACACCTCTGGTTCTGGACAGGAACCACTACGTGGCTGCCGACCATGGTTGGCCCAATCTTTAATTTAGGCCGCCGACAGTGCCTCCGCCCTCCCACCTGGGTTGCCCACCCTCGATTCCGCCAACCACCCTCATCGCCGCCCTCCCCTCGGCCGCCCACCAAAAGGAAATCACGAAAAGAAAGGAAACCGTGTAGCGGATAAAAGTGGAGGAACAGCGGCCGCCCGATCCGCGCGTCGCGCCCCCACCGCGTCGATCTCTTTCTCTTCCTATCTCTCTGTCCTTTTTTGTTTTTTTTGTTTTTTTTGCTCCTCCGTCTACTCAACTCTGTTCCTGCTGGAATTCCGTCGAGTTGGTATCGATCTCTGCATTTCGCACAATTACGGCCTGATCAGGCGTTCAATTAGTCTTTTTTCCCTCTTCTAATTTGATGTGTGTAACCCGATTGGTGTACGTGTCCGTAGGGTGTGATTTCCTTTTCCACTGCCCGAGAATTTCTCGGTCAAGATTTGGATTTCGAGAAATAATTTCTTTTATAGATTCGTCGCCTGGTGATTGGTTTTCTTGAATTCGTTTCTGCGCTTGCGATTGGGGCTTTTGTTTGCCTTCCGCACTACGTGAATGGAGACAGGTGGTTTGCGCACTCTTTGCTTTTTTATAAATTATTTGTTTTTGACTGGACTTGTTGACTTGATATTCCAGTCGTGAACATAAACTTGCAATTGTCCTCCAGATATCAAGATTGATTTTGTCAAGTGTTCTGTTTTCTTGTGTTTACGTTTTTGTTTAGCCTCTTTGGCTCTAGATTATTTAGAATTAAAGTTCCCTTCTTGTAGGGTTAGTGAATGGTTATTTCTTGGTTTGTAGAATTGCTGGGAAAATGGAGATGGTTGTGAGTTGTGACTAAGGCGTAGTTCGCTAGGTAGCTGCAACAGATGGGCTGTTTTCAATCGAAACGCAGAAAGCAATACCCAGGATATGAGGACCCCGTGCTTCTTGCTTCTCAGACGGCCTGTAAGTCAAAATATTGGTTGTACGAATCCAATTTCAAATTGCTTATCCATGCTTTAGCCTTTGGAACTGATATTTTATCCTTTGCTTTCAAATTGAATCATGTTTTTAGATATTGAAATGGACACCTAGCTGTTATATAACAGGCCATCTTCTGTTTGCTCTAAATCTGAATTTTTTCCGGAGACATGCTTCATACAAATTAGCATCGAAAAGTGATTGATCTTCTGAGATTTACAGATCTAAGGTTGATTAAGGGTATGATATTGTAGTGTTAAACTCATTGTTTTGACATGGTTTTTCTAGCCCCTCACATAGGATGGAGATTGGCATTTTCCTCAAGGAAAATTCTGATTAAAATGAGGAGGTACACCCATCTTTTCTAAAAAGGTAGTTAAATTATGGCCTGATTCCAGTTTGATTTGATTTTTGGTCTAAACTTAAGATGTAATCAGTTTCAGTTTTATTTATTTATTTATGTTAATTTGAATTTAAGTCAAATTAGGTATTGAATTAGGTCTGAATATTTTTATATGTAAATCTCAGGAGTTCTCTTAGTGTTGGAACTGGTAAGGTTACTGTGCTAAAGTGCCAATTGACTATTTCATTCTGGACATGTTGGTTCAAGAAAGACAGTAGAAGGATGAAAAAAAAAGTCAAATATCTTCAAGATACATGTTAAACAAATAAGTAATTTGGGAAATGAGATAAAGCTAGTTGTATTTTTTCTCTAGAAAGTTTGATTGTGTCTTTAAATAGGGATCATGTTTGAGTTTGGTAGTAGGTTATGCTCATCACTTGAGCAACAAAGACATTGGTTTTCTTTGAGGCTACGAGACTTTAGTTACTTTTTTCTCTGTTTTGAGTGTCTTTTCCAGCCTCTAAACCCTGTCTTCCTACCATGGTCTTCTATCTCCATCAATCTTCACCATTATCTGGCTTGTTTATTGCATCATGAAGCTTGATTATGTCAACGGGGCATCTTTTGAAAGCGTTGCTTTGTGCAAGATGAGGAGAGAATAAATTTTTTGATGCATCTAACTCTAAATCAAGTGAAAGCCTCGGAGATCTATTTATCTATTCCTAGTGAAACTGTTCTTTTTTATGTATTCATATTTCATTATCAGGTTTTTCACTTGTTTGACGTTAGAACAAAAAACAAAAAAGAAGTGCAGGGTTCAATTCAGTTATTTTGTTCACTTCTTGATAAATATTTTCTTTTGTTTATCTTGACAGTTACTGTCAGTGAAGTTGAGGCACTTTTTGAACTGTTCAAGAGCATTAGTGGTTCTGTAATCGATGATGGATTGATCAACAAGGTAAAGCACAGGCTGCTATTAACTCCCGCTTTCTTTTGTTCTGGTGAAAGTTTATTAATATCTCTTGTTTAAGCAACTTTTTTACTTTCTGACATGTCAGTGACAGAAGCATCAATGTGAAGAAACTGATTTTTTTGCAACGATGTTGCTTTCCCTTGCATAGTGATTGGCTAGCTTAAAATTTTCCTTTTCCATATTTTTCTGATAAAATGATTGAATGAATACTTTTATATAGATTTAAGCTAGTTATTAATGGAACTATGATACTAGGTTTCGGCAAGAGCCCCTTTCAGGATATCTTGCAAAAAGATAAATGACCTTAAGCAAAATTTTTGGGTTAAATGAAATGAAGTTGGATGTCTTTGATGCTATACTAGTTAAACCAACAAAATTCTCACTTTGCATAATGAAGATTGTTCACAGCAAGATGCTTTGATTTTAAAAAGGTAGCTGATGATTTATAATGAGATCACATGTCACTCAAGATATAATTACTACCTTTTAACCTAGTTACTGATTGTAACTTCCAATAAATTCTTGTCACTCATCTTTAGTTTGGGCTTATTGCTTGATTCTCTGATACAAGTCAGGAAGTATTCAAGAAAATTGTCATTATCTTTTGCTCAAATAAAAAAAACCTTCCATTATCTGCACAACATGCAATTCGAGAATGAAACTCTGAGAAAGGATACTTAACCACCTATTCTTCAAAAAAATTACAACTAGCTAATTTCATCTTGATAAACTTATGATAAAGATGAAATACATTGGTCTATGCTTGGTTGGTTGTCAGTCTACCCAACTTTGTGGGGCTTCTTAATTGCTGACTTAGTCTTTATTAACCTAAGAAACACGGACACTGTGACATGCCATTTTTAAAAAATTAGGACACGGATACGGCGAGGACATGTGTATTTTTTAATATATATATATATATATGTATATAATATAATATCTGATTAACAAGAGTTTTATAATATTTATATTTATATTTTATAAACTCAGCAATATGAACAAATAAATATCATCATATAGGTTAAAATAATTAAAATAATCTAAATTTAAGAATCCAAAATAAAAGTTGAGTATATCAAATAATATTTAACAATCTACAAATATAATTGATATATGTTTCCTTGTGACCATCTCCAAATTTCTTTTCTTGCGAAGCATATGCCCCTCATATGAGAGCCACACGAGTGCAACGCCACACACGAATGAAAATCCCCATGTGAATGCTCAACGTGTGTCCGTTTGTCTGACACGGACATGGACACGGACACGTCCACAAAAAACGCATGTCTGTGCTTCTTAGTAACAAGACCTACCATTAATAATACAAATCTGCATTGGTGTTTGGTTAATGCTTGTATAACTTGATGCTTTGTTCCAATTTTACTTTAGAATGCATATGAGAACCTGATTAGTTAATCCAAATAGTTCTCATCAGGTGATTAGTATATACTGATTACTCCTGTAGATTTGGTGCACTTCTTTAAAAGAATTAAAGACACCAAGTTGTACTTAGTGATTTAATTTTCATATTATCTACTCTCTGCAGGAAGAATTTCAGCTTGCATTATTTAAGAGCAGAAAAAGGGACAATCTCTTTGCAAATCGGGTACTATATCAACAAGAGCTTCTTGTTTGTATCCCTGTTTACTTCTGCAAATAGCAGTGATAAGTATCTGTAGAATAGCTTGAGTTTGCATCTTGCTTGGTAGTTGCTGGACTAATTAATATAACATATTTCTGATTGTCAAATGAGGTTGTGTTAATCAATTTGGGAGCTCAATATTGTGATTTTGGACTTGTTTTCATATCTTAACTATTATTTCTAATTTTTTATATCTTACGCAACACTGTAGTCTTATCAGTTTTCTAAATTTGTAAGAAGTAAACCTAAAAATGAATGACTTTGTTAATGTCACCTCTAACATGTGCTTCTTTTTATTCAGTGTGGAGAAGAAACCTCCCAAGCTTAAGAACTAGAAGACCAATTAACAAAACTAAATATTTTGCTGCACAGAAGGGAAGATGATTTAAAGGCTGACAATCTTGTGTATATATGGGGCTAGTAGTGCCCATATCTCTTAATCTAACTAGGAATTTAAACTAGTCTAATTTTTCCATTGAAATATATAAAACATACGATGAAGATTTTCAAAAGAAGCCTTTTTATATATGATCCATTGTTAATTGTAATAACGATTCTTCTTCCCCCAAGGCTGGCCCAACCAGTTAATTCTCACAAACCCTGATTGTGTGGAACCATACGAATGAGCTTGTAGATATAGTTTTTCATTAGATCAAAGGCATGAGATAATTAGACTGCACTAGAAGATGTGCTGAACAAGAATCCTAATGGATGATGAGAAAATTAAGGTTGTACTGCCAGCTGCTAGCTCCATTTCATTTTTTTTTAATGTATCCAATGCACGAGGCTCCCGTCAATGCAAGTCTGGGAGGATCAATATATGCCTAGCCTTACTCTAAATATAGAGAGGTTGTTTCCATGACTCGAACCTGATCTCTCAGGTTGCAAAGTAGCAACCCTGGACGTCACCATAATTCTTACATTTACTTAAATGACTACTATAAAGAAAGAATATTTTAAGCAAGTTTTGCATGTGATACTGTCTCTTGACCTTGTATAACAATGGAATTTGTACCTGATAGAACAATATTCATGCTTCATCGGCTGAGGGGTTTTTCCTACTTGAACTATTAACATTTATCTGATGCACTATGTCGAAGATGTCTTAGTATTGTATTTGGTAAGGAGTCTATATCCATTACTTTCATAGTTTCAGTTTGCTAATTAGTGTAATCAGATGGTCAAATTTGGCTAGATACTGTTTAGTGTTAATAGCTGCTCTGTATGCTCTGAGATACTGTTGTGTCAATAGCTGATTTTACTACTTAAAAATGCAGTTATTTGATCTATTTGATGTTAAACAAAAGGGAGTGATTGATTTTGGGGATTTTGTTCGATCTCTCAATGTTTTTCACCCAAATGCTCCGCATGAAGACAAAGTAGATTGTAAGTTTTTTATTGTATTTTAGCTGATTTGACTTCGTGGTGGAACCATTTTTATAAATCTTTATGTGATTCCACAGTTTCCTTCAAACTTTATGATCTGGATGGCACGGGCTTCATTGAAAGGAAAGAGGTACCTTGACATCTTATGAATGGTTAATATTCTAGTTGGCCTGTATTAATGAGAAATTGTTTATTAGATTTTGCCTTGTGAATACATCTCCAATACAATAATAGGCTACAGGAGGATTGAAAGCCCACTTTTTACCTTTTGGACAAGTAATATTTTTCCACTTACACAGCACAAAAATTTTTCTTTCTTGGAGGAACATACATCTTTAATTAAAGCCATTCATTTGATTAATTGATACAATGTCCTGTGGCTCAGGCATGCAGGGTAACATTCATAATATGGTAGTAACATGTTCTCGTATTGATCAACAAAATGTAGAAGAAAATTCATTTCAGTTTTTATATGAGCAAATAGTTGGATGGGAAAAAGGGGACCGATTAACAAAAGTTAGCTTGAATTCAGTATGTTTAGTGTAATTGTGAACATAAGGTGTTAATTTAAAAGAATGAGATCATTGGAACTGGTTATCGGTGAATATGAAAGAGAAATTGATTATATCTAGGAGAATCTATGCTATTTTCTCTAGGGAAAAATAAATGTTTGAATTATTGGCAGGAATAAGGCTTCTCCCGAAGTCTTTTGTCCTTAGTATCCCAATGGTTGGTTTAAGGAAAGAAGTTCTTTGCAGTATTATTTTGTTGAATAATTTTTTTTCTCCATATAAAACATAGGTGATGTTTGATAATAAAAACAATTACTGTCGACCAACAATTTTGTTTTACAACTAGATCTATTGACTGAATATATATTAAATAAATGTTGGAGCTGAAGTAGCACCTAACCTTCTTTACCTGTATTTTTTTGTTGAAATTGATTGAGCATGAATTAATCTCTTTTACTTTTAAGATTTGTTAGTTCAGTTTATGATATTGACATAAGATGGTCCTTGCAACTTAATTTTTGGTTTCACAGGTCAAGCAAATGCTGATTGCACTGCTGTCTGAATCAGAAATGAGATTGGCAGATGAGACTCTGGAGATAATCCTGGATAAGGTTCACAATTTCTGATCATGGAACTACATATAGTCCAGTTCAATTGCTGTGCTTCTTACATTATTTTTAACAGACATTTCAAGAAGCTGATGCTAATCAGGATGGAAAAATAGATAAAATAGAATGGGAGAATTTTGTCTCTCACAACCCTTCATTGATGAAGATCATGACCCTTCCATATCTCAGGTAATTTTTTGTGAAGAAGGCAAAAAAATTTTGTAAGTTGCATACCATAAGCTGTTCTATGATTTTTTGCTTGCTCCCTGTATGTTCCATGATAATGGGGCATTTTGTCTTTATTAAGATCTATAGGGAGCTAAATAGCTTTCCATATTTTATGGACAAATGCTGTTTTTTATTTTGAATGGACTGATCAAAGTTTGAAAGAACTATCCTTGATTATGGACTGATCCAAGTTTGAAAAAACTATCCTTGAATATGACCACATTCTCATAAGTCGTAGAAGGTTAAGCTGCAAAGAGCAGGTGTTGAACATCCTCTTTGATGGTGGAGCATCATAGTTAGTAAATGATTTAGAGGAAAGAAAGGAAAGAAAAATAAAGGGAAAAGAGGGGATGTGATATGCTGGTAGAATATCTGCTATTGTAGCTATAAGTGCTCAACTATGATTCATGATGGCTGCTTGATTACTGTAGCATTTGATGTATCAATGTATGAAGCAGCAACAACAGCAAAACTGTAATGTCTCAACTATTGAGGTAAATATCAGCATATGCAGACAAGATGGAAATCAATGTGAAGTTAATTAATAGAAACATATCAGAATCTTATTTTGCCCATAGGATTGGAATTTTGATCATTTTGTACACCAATAAACGCAGGAATACATGAAACAAATAATAGCTCCATAGGGGAACCAATCACTTCTTTATCAGCCATATTACATTATCACAGATTAAATGGTAGATATGAGATGTGGGACCATCTCTAATATGATTACTAGAATCAGTGATCCTGGTGTTTATCCTTTTGTTTCTTCCATATCATCTGGTATTTTATTTGGCCCATTATAAGCAACCTAAGCAAATCTTTTTTCCACCAAATCAAATTTAAATTTATGTTTTGATAGCCAATGCTTGCATCCCAACCTTGTTCACTGATTAAATCTCTCTGAAATATATCCATGCCCTTTGTCATAAACCACACTTCGGATGGTTGTTCAACTGCCACATCAGCTAGTAATTGACCAGGCAAGTTGTGCTGTTCCACCCTCAAGTCACTTCATAACATGGCTGCTGATGGCGATGATGTAGGACTCATGACTCAATGAGTTTCCTTCTAACTAGAATTATTTTTTATTATCGTTTTTTGAAAAAACACAAAATATCATCATTTTTTATTTTACAATATTGATTTTAATGTTTGGTGTCACCACATAATAGTTCTTTTAAAAGAAGAGAAAAGAAAATATGTGCTGTGATCACAAAAGTAAAACATATTTGTGTATTTTCATCAAAACAAAAAAGTCTGAAACCCTCACAGAGCTTCATATCTTAATTATGTCCTCAATAAATACTATTCTTGTTCCATAACCTAAAACATAACAGTACAGAATAAAAAGCCTGTAGATTATAATGCTCAATTGCTGCTAGATTCTGTAAAATAAACTAGCAATTGGTTATGTGATGACAATAAAGTCACTAGACTAAATAATGAGGTTGTGGGGAAACAACATATAAAATACAAAGAATAGATAGAAATATAAGAGAGAAGAGGAACGTTCACTGATTGGATATATGTTGGTCGGTAAATATTGGATGCTCGACCTACTTCTGGAGATTGGGTGAATAATTATTCAATCTTTATCATTGTGCAAATAGTGCACTACAAGGCACTGTAATTCTTTTGGATAATGTAAACATTTGTACAGCTGCCGACTATTTTTTCCTAAGATTTGGACTTTCTTTAGACAACAACAAGAATAATCAATGATAAAGCATACCATCTATATATAGTTTGAAGTTTGATCTGCAACAATTTGTGCGATTAAAAGAAAAGGTCCAAGGACTAGATTAAAAAGCATTGTACTCTTTGAACAAGGGAGAACATCCTTGTTATAGAGAAATGTCAGAAAGGGACCTATCCGCCATAAGGTTTTGTTAATTTATTTCCATATACTGGTTCATCTGTGTCAACTGGGAGTATTAGTCTAGATAGAAAACTATGCAGCACAGCTTGCATGGGTTCGTACAATTATCTCTAGATATTTTGTCCAAAGTGTCATCATTTAGTATTATTCAAGACAGATTTAGTTTGATCTGGTCAGTAAAACTTAAAAGTATCACTGAGGATCATGATATTAAATGGAACTAAGGACACCTCATTCTGATTCTGGTACTCTTCATAAGAATATGTATCCACAAAAGCCATTGTGAAATATGCTTGACCAATATTTGTTCCTCTTAACAAATATTTTTGGCTTTCAAATTTTCATGCATGCAGACTTGTAAATGTTAAAATTATGGGGATGTGTTAGAACTTTATTCTTGAAATAATTATTTTCTGTGCAAATAATGAATACCAGTACTTTTATGTATCTTTTATGGGTTCCAATTCTGTAAAGCAATATTTACAATATTCTGTAAGCTTGCATGAAAGCACTAGTCTCTCGTAACTGCGTTTGTGGCTTAGTAATGCGAGTCAAATGACCTGTCTTTATGGTAACTATGCAGGGACATAACAACAACATTTCCGAGTTTTGTATTTAATTCTGAAGTTGATGATATTGCCACTTGAGATTTGCTCGCCGTACTGTGTATGAGGAGATTACAAGCAACCGAGCATCTGTATACACAAAAGTGCAGACTATCAAAGCACGTTAGCAGCAAGAATGTGATGCCATCAGAGTTGCTACGGACATTTATTAGTGTTTGTAGTTGATTTCCCGGTAGAAATGCACCTTCAGAATTTAGGTTTTCTGCCTAGAATGATCTGCCATGGTTTTGTGCTTTAGGATTGTGTTGTGGTATTTGATCAAAATGTGTATACATTAAACGAGAGTAGTTTTGCCTTTGCCATGTGCTTCTTGGGATGCCTTTGATGTAAGGATTTTTTTTTTCCATTGTTTTTCCTTTCCGCTCTCTGTCAATTTTGGTCATTTCGACGGCTAGGATCAGAAGGGCCCATCCCAGTCTTCTATGTGGTGTGGAAATGGTTTATGTCTGTGTGGGATGCTCGACCTTGCCTTGTCAAAGGTGTTGCATTGAGCGAAGTCAAGATTGTGGCAATGTGCGCTGAATTGTTTCTAAGGGCGTCTGGTGGATCTCTATGCTTCTTGGGGCAAATTATTATGTCTGTGGAGAGAGCCAAAGGTCACCGTAGCATGGACAGTCGAAAGTCAAAAACGTACGCGATTATGTAATGTTCGAATGGAAGGAGTAAAACATGATATCAGATGTACGACATACGATTTAGCAATTGAAAAAATTACTAGGAAAGGGAGTAAGTAGGGATGGAGACTTTTGATGGTAATGACATGATCGAGATGTTCAATCCCTTCAAATCAGGAGGTTTTCTTTATAGTTAGTGCAAGACAGAACGATAATTATGGATAGTAACAACGACATAATAATTGAGAGGTGTCGAGTGAATGAAGCTTCTTGCATGGATCCAAAGAGACGACTGTTTCGTTGTTATTTCATTAGATCATGAGTCGATCATAACGTTGTCAGTGACCGACGGTTCTATGGCATCAACTCGTCCCTTCTTATGTAGTACAAATGAGACTATGATACTTTGATTCAGCATTTGTTTCTCAAATTTGGCCGTTCAATTTCTTTTTTTTCTTCTTTTAGTGTTAGAATTTTACTTGAGGGTAAAAAAATATTGATATGCTGGTGAAAAATATCCAAATCCATATATCGAAAAGAAAATGCTCACATTTCATACTTGCAAAGAATTATACTACACACGGACAAGAATCTATATGAGAAGACCTTAGGGTTTTATCATAGAAGAAATGGAAGAAAAGGGGATGATCACTTCTAGGTGATCAGCTTCCTAGGGTTTGTCAAAAGACTGAATAATATTTTATTGATTGATGACAAGAAATAGATACATTCTTATTTATAGAGTTCATCCAAAGTTCATTAGAACTTAGACTTTTAATAATAAATAAATATTAAATAAATCTGACTTTTATTTAACTAAACAAACTCAATAAAATATTATTCAAAAGCTTAGCTTAGAAAATAAAGAGATCCTAACAATTCCTCCCCCTTCAAATCAACCTTGGGAAGCTTCTCTTTCAGCACTTAGTCACAGGGTATCTGTGGCGCATCATAACCCGTTGATTAAGTAAGTACGATCTCCACTTCTTGATAGTATAAGCAATAGGTCGGCCTTTCGGTGTAGTAGTCATTGTAGTCTTCTTGAGAACCCTCTCCATCTGATGGCTAGTGACAATTATGACCTTACTTCCACGTCTTCCTTTTAGAATCACCTGCTTTCCATTAATAAAAAACTTCATAATTAGTTTATAAAAAATTCAAGAAACATTACCCAAGGTTGATAGTTATTCAATTCCAAGCACCACTTCGAAGTCTTCCAAGGATAGTAAAAAAAAGTCTACAAGCAACTCTTGGCCTTGTATAGTCAATTTTATCTTCGAGCATTTAGTCAATTTTATCTTCGAACATTTGCTATCACAAGTTAAAATTTATCCATCAGTGACCTTTACTTCAAATTTATCACAGCCTTTAATGTGGTAGGCTAATCAATCAGAAACCTTACTATCCATAAAATTGTTAGTGCTACAAGCATCAATCAAAACTGTAACAACCCCAAAAGAATCCAAGATGAAAATAGCCTCAATCCAGCTAGAGGGAGATGCAATCCAGTAGTATGATTAGTATGAAACTTACCACGGAGTACCCTCGTGGGAGTAATTCAAGAGAGGGCTTCTTGTTCACTTTGGACCATCTGAATACGATAATGTTGATGGACAGATCACCAAAATTTGTCAGACTTCTACAGTGTTGGAATATCAGAGTAGGTTTAAATGATTGTTAAATCAAGCCAGAGATTGGTTTGAACGATAACTGGTGGGTACATTTATTAAAGGACTTAATCCAGATATCCGATATAAAGTCAAAACTCGTCAACCCCGTACTATGAATGCTGCAATCTCATTTGCACGTTTGCATGAGAAAAAAATTAGTAGGGAAAATCGTCGAAACATAAATGACAACAAACAGATGATCAGAAAGCCACCCGCCCCATATATTCCTAACCGAAACCCTAACACCCAAAGACTAACCCGAGAAGAACTCAAGGAAAGATTAACGAAGGGTTTGTGCTGGCATTATAGAGTAGGGAGCTCCGATGTAAACGAGGGTAACTTCTTATGATTGAACCAATTGGGGAGGAGCCAAAAGCTAATAATGTGGACTCCGATCATGAAGGTATAGATTCTGATGAAGATATTAGACTTATCATACATACAGTGCATGCATTAGTCGGCTACTCTAACCCAAAGTTGGAGGAACTCTAGAACATCAACATGTGAAAATGAAAAACAAAAATTCTACCCTAGAGATCTAACTGATCGGATCTCCATCTTCCCATCTTGGAAATTTCACATTCATGCGTGGATAGCTTGTGTCCTGTTCTTAGTTCCTTCTTCCTGTGTCTTCAGATCGGTTCAATGTAAGACTTGAACTTTCATCTTATTGAAACTTGTTGAAGCTCTCAATTCTGATTTCCAATGCTTCGATTTAGGCTTTTATTGAGTTATTAGTAGCCATTGCGTAAGACTACAAATTTATAATCTCAACTCCCATTTCTAGTGTTAGAAAAAGGGCATCAACACTGCCCTATTTGGTGCTGCTATTGTGATGCAGTCAATGACAGCACTATGGGAGTGAAGGGGTACTGCGAGAATGTAGAGATATAGTTGCGATCGCTGTGTGGGAGGCAGCAATGCTTATTGTGGTCACTGCATAGAGGGATCGCTGCTACTAAGGGTTGGGAGGTAGCGATGGTGGTGCGGCAGGGGGCAACGCCACCGAGGGCTCACCACTGCAGTGGCTGCGATGGTTGAGGACTAGGCTGCGGCAACACGGATGGAAGGCAGCGTTGCCTTGTCTCTGTCGCACCACGGAAGGAGGCACTGGTGATGCTGAGGGATCGTGGGCGGTTGAGGAAACTACGGCGGCTGTGATAGTGTGGATGGGAGGTAGCATTGCCATGTTTCTATCATATCGTGGAAGGAGGCGCTGGTGACGCTGAGAGATCATGGGCGGGTGAGGAAATAGCGGCAGCTGCGGCTATTGAGGACTAGGCTACGGTGGTTGCTATTGATGTCGGTAGCGAATAGGGGAGGAAACAGCAATGGTTGCAATGGATACGACGGTCGTGGTTTCCTTGTTTCGATCACCTCGAGGAGAGATGGTCGAGCGACTGCGGCTACGACCTAAGGGGAGGCAGCGATGGTCGTATGACCAGGGGCAGCATCGCCGATGGTAGAAGCGACGAGGGGGGTGGTTCGCTGGCTATGAAATAGCGATTGCAAACCCTCTCACTTGAGCAAGGTGGGGCAGCGAGGAGGGAAGGTTGCTGGCGATTGAGGAAACAACGGCGACTACGATGGTTGAGGACTAGGCTGCAGTGGTTGCTATTGACGCCGGCAGTGAAGAGGGGAGGAAATAGCGATGGTAGTAGTTGCTGGCTAGGAAGCAGGGGTTCTTTCTCAGTCAAGAAGTATTAGCGTGCGTGGTTGTTGACTTCACCCTTTCTCTCTTTTTCTTCTCTTTTTTTTTTTGTTTGAGATGATAATATCTATGGTAACACTATAGCGAGAACGCCGAGGATCATCGTTCTAATACCAAATGATAAGACCCTAGGGTTTTATCATAGAAGAAAGGAGAAAAAAGAGGATGATCACTTCGAGGGGATCAGCCTCCTTCGTCACTTCGAAGGGATCAACCTCCTAGGGTTTATTGAAAGACTGAATAATATTTCATTACTTGATGAAAAGAAATAGATATATCCCTATTTATAGAATTCCACCTAAAGTCCACTAGGACATAGATTCTTAATAATAAATAAATATTAAATAAACCCCTATTTGACTCTTACCGAACTAAACAAACTCAATAATAATTATTCAAAAGCTTAGAAAATAAACGGATCCTAACACAGTATCAATCAAAACTATAATATACTGATGTTCTAATGTTCCTCCAACTTTCATAATTTGTGGGTTATAGTAGCCAGCTAATACATGCACTATATATATGATAGGTCCAACATTTTCATCAAAATCTATACCTTCATGATTGGGGTCCACATTGTTAGCTTCTGATGCCTCCCTAATTGGTTCAATTATCAAAAGTTGCCCTTATTTACATTGGTGCTCCCTACACCACTTTTCATCACAGTGCCAGCATAAACCCTTCGTTGATCTTTCCTTGAGTTCTTCTCGGGTTAGTCTTCGGGTATTAGGGTTTCGGTTGGGAATAGATGGGGTGGGTGGTGTTGAATCTCGAATTTTGATGATAAAACCAATTAATAGTCTTTATTTGATCTGCGTTTTGAGTGATGCAGGAAGCTTCGATCAGGGAGAGATAATTAAAAGCAGGAAGAATCATGTTGGGCCAGAGTGGAACATGTTAGAAGATTGGATGTCGGGCTGGAGGACTGATCGACATATCAGCAAAAGGCTTCGGGCTATAGGTTCGGACATTAAGCCAAGAAGATCAGAAATTGCACCAAGGAAATCAGAGTTACAAAAGTCAACTGGCCGATTGGGCAATAGGCCGTAAGAGAGGACGATGCGCCGAAGAATCGGACGAAGTATCGATGAACCAATGATATGTCGGACAACATTTGATTCAAGCTTTATAATAATTGTCTAGATCAAAGTAGGTTTTAAGTGTACAGGATTAACTACAATAGCGATCAAGGCATAAAGAAAAATGAAGTCCTGGAGTCAAGAATGAGATTTCGTTGGGAGTTCGAGAGTTCATCGAAAGTTCAGACGTTCATCGAAATTTCTATCGAAATTGACCGAGAAGTCCAGGAGCTTGCCAAAGAAGCTCGTCAGAACTCACTAAGAAGATCATCATGAAG